CTTTAGGTATAAATGCAAGTATGTTAAGCATTTGGAGAATACCAACGAACTCGTAACAGTGGTTAACCTCTGGGGAAGGGCTGGGATTAGGAGTGGTTGTCAAGGAAGATTTTGTTTGCTCTGGAAGGTCTGCATTTTTTTTTTCCCCTACAGAGAATGTGTTCAAGTAGTACTTGTGTAATGCAAATTGCATTTCACCATGTAATTTTTTTTAAAAAGCAAGAAACTGACCCTGCTCCGTACATTTCAGTCACGTGTTTGGGGGCAATTTCTACTCCAATCTCACACACGCTTCCTGGGAGGCTGAGCGCTCAGCAGTGCAAAGCAGTGGGCTCTGCAACACAGATCTTGTTTCAATATTAGAAGCCCAACTCTGTGACTCTGTGGACCATTCAGTTTATACACTAGTTCAAGGAAGAGGCAAGAAAAAAGAGAAAGGCCTGTCAGGGGACTTCTGGGTAATTCAAAGGGATGTCCTAGGAGCGATTTCAGTTCTTCTAGTTGAGCATTCCAGCTCTCCAACACCACACACACATGCATGCACGCACATGCACACGCACGTGTACATGCGGACTTGCCAATGATGGCAGCCCTCGCCCAACCACACGTAATCCACAGCAGGCCTAGCCGGCTGTGCCTCCGACTCTTCCATCCGGGAATCAGGATTTCTAACATAAATTCAGATCCTGTGGGCTAATGAGAAGGAAGACTCTGACCACCACATTAGAAAAGCTCCAAAATATCATTTACTCCCCCAGGGCCACCTAACCACACAGAATGCTGACTTTTCAACACAGACACTCCTCCACCTCCACCTCTTCAAGACACTACATGAAAAGTCCTTAGAAACACAAAATTCTAATATTAAGGACCTAGGGTAGGGCAAAACTAACCTAGGGTGATAGACATCAGAGCTGTGGTCCTTCCAATCGGGGGGAAGATTCACTGGAAAAGGTCCCATGGAACACTTCGGAGGTGACGGAAATGTTCTGTCTCAAAATGCATTCGTCAGAACTGATCAAACAGCACATTTCAGATCTGAGCATTCCACTGTATGCAAATTACACCTCAATTTAAAAAAAAAAAAAAAAAAAAAAAACTACCCCAGTACAGTTTCTCTGCTAGCTGCAGCAGAACTTCGAGCTGTCGTATCAGACATCTGAAATCTCTGTTGTGCTATGTAAAGAGCACAAGTACCATGGCGACAGTCACCATAAAAATAGATAACAAGATTAAAATGGATAGAGGACACAGGAATTTAAGAACGGCGCACCAGGAGCAATTCGTTTTCGGCAGAAGAAAAATAGAGGACAGGGAGTTTTTCATTCCCCCTGCACTTTGAAAAACAACCATTGAGTGTGGTTGTTTTTACTAAAAGAGTTTTATGGCTTCCCAGTACTCAAAGGACAAAAAAGGCTGAGAGCTGTTACTTCTTATCATATTTTGCCTTAAAAAAAAAAGTATGATACCCGAAGTTTTTCCCATACCCACTGTTCTGTGGCCCAGGGAGCCGATTCACAGCAATGCGACAAAGCACAGATGACGTACCATATACACTGTGTGAGGTCCAAATGATACTGAGATAAAGGCGGCCTGGGCCCTTTATCGAGTGCACAAAGACTTCCAACTTTAGTTCCAATTACCAAGTTCTGCCTACATTTTTTACATACATCGAACACTGACGCCCCCTAGGTGTGCACCCTGAAATTACTCCACATGAAGAGAGCACTTTCTTGCCCAATACTGACTTCTTTCAAATGCCAAAATGTAGGCATGAATCACTTGGCGACAGAAATCTTGTGTTCTTCTCCAAAAGATGAGATAAACCTCTGTTCTCCTTGTGGAGTTTCTCCAAGAAATGTTTGCTAAGTGACTTAGCCCTTGCAGTGTCCCCAGCAGCAAAAGAAGTAATCCAAAAATATCAGGAAGAAAATCTAAAATTTTTAAATGATCAGGGTGGATTCTAAATAAACCATACATTTAAGTAAAATTTAGGCAAAATTAAACGTCCACGTGTAAGCTACAAATAATAAAAGTGCAAAAACAAAAAAAATTTTCATTCAAACCACAAATTTACTGTCGGATAGCAACTAAACATATGCGTTCCTGGAAAATCCCACACAAAAGTTTCTTTAAATCTGTCTCTTGTTCCCTCTCTCACTAAGCCTACAGAGCAATCACAAGGTTCAGACTCGTCCCTGATGTTGGGATGGTTTTTAACGTGCTGCACCTGGTGATATAAATCTGCAGTGGAGAAAATGGAGGAGGAGATGGTCAAGGACACTCCCAGATCCTCCACAGCCAAGCAGAGGACCCAGGAGTCAGTTAAAGGTCCCCATCTTGATTCATTCATTATACTGAATACAACCGGCCAATAAACATATTAGTCTTCCATATGTCGATCTGTTTTATTTATTGTTATTTGCCATTTTCCACCCTACACCCACCTTCTTGCTTTTCCTAAAGACAAAATTCCATTTTCAGCAGCCCTGGGGCCACAGACTGAGTCCTGAGACACCTTGGAATAGTTCTCTTCCTCCTTTCTAAAATAACCCCAGAAGATCTCTTGAAAATGTTAGGACCCACTTATTAACATTTTTTTAAAGAGCTTAAAATGATGATTTGACCCCAGTACTACACACTAGAGGCACATTCCATATTCCACATTACCTTTCAGCTTCGACAAGTCACACAATAACCCAAGAATTAGAAAGGACTCTGGAGGCCAGCCTAATTCCTGTTCTCTTCTACAGCACCCCCAATCCACAGCATTCAGCCCAACCTGAATACCTTCAATGATGGGGAGCTCACTACTCCATGGGCAGACATTTCCACTGTTGGTCAGGCCTGCCAGCAAGAAAATTCCTTTTCTGATAGAACTGAAATCTGCTCTCCCAGTCTTTAGGGTTAAAAGGAACCTTAAAGCTCATCACCTTTGTGTAATCATTCAGTGGATAAGGAATCATGTAATGCAATCATTCTACAGAAGAAGAATCTGAAGCTAGAGAGGATAAAGCAGTTGTCCCATCCATCGGTCACACTCCAACACCAGAGCAGAAATGAACAAGTCGACTCTTTCCTATACCTCATAACCACGAAAATATCTGAAAAGTGCTATTGTGTACCCACCCCATGAATGTACTCCGGTCATTCCTGATCCCACAGCATCCTAGTCTCCTTCCTGTGGGTGAAGCCTTGTTTGTTCATGTTTCTTTTAAATCATGGCTCCCCAGTGTTCCGAATGTCACATGACGAGCAGAGGTCAGTAAAACTAGACCCTGTGATTGGACTGATGAATTTCTGATCCAGTTATGAATGGGATTCAATTTCTAAAAAGCCTCATCCCACTCAGGGCTCATATTTAACTCATGAACAGAACAATCTCAAAACTTTTTTCCCGGGCTTCCCTGGTGGCGCAGTGGTTGAGAGTCCGCCTGCCGATGCAGGGGACACGGGTTCGTGCCCTGGTCCGGGAAGATCCCACGTGCCACGGAGCGGCTGGGCCCGTGAGCCATGGCCGCTGAGCCTGCGCGTCCGGAGCCTGTGCTCCGCAACGGGAGAGGCCACAGCAGTGAGAGGCCCGTGTACCGAAAAAATAAAAACAAAAAAACTTTTTTCCCACATGATCTGCCCCCTCCTCAGCACTTGGAGGACCACCAGGGTTACACTGTGCTTGTCTGTTTACCTGTCAGTCTCCCCCTTTCAATCAGATCATCAACTTCAGGTCAGGGACTGAGTCTTCTTTTTTTGACTCCAGTACCTCGTCAGTGCTTGACACACGCAGGTAAATACTCAAGATTAGTCACTAAATGAATCATCTACCTTTACCCATCCTGTCCTTGAATGATAAAATGTTTTTAAAATAGCAGTGTTCAAGAGAATGAAGAGACAAACCACAGGCTGGGAGAAAATATTTGCAAAAGACACATCTGATAAAGGACTGTTATCCATAACATACAAAGAACTCTTAAAACTCAACGATAACAAACAACTCAATTTTAAAAAGGGAGCCAAAGACCTTAACAGATACCTCACCAAAGAAGACATACAGATAACAAAAACAGCACATAAGATGTCATCACAAAGCATTAGGGAAATGCAGATTAAAATGAGATACCACTACACACTTAAGAGAATGGCCAAAATCCAGATAACTGACAACACCAAATGCTGGTGAGGATATAGAGCAACAGGAACTCTCATTCTTTGCTGGTGGGAATGCAAAATGGTGCAGGCACTTTGCAAGACAGTTTGGTGCTTTCTTACAAAACTAAACACACTCTTACCGTATGACCCAGCAACTGCCCTCCTTGGGATTTATGCAAAGGAGTTGCAAATTTATGTCCACACAAACACCTGCATATGGGTGTCTATAGCAGCTTCATTCATAATGACTGCCAAAACTTGGAAGCAACCAGGATGTCCTTCAGTAGGTGAATGGATAACTACACTATGGGACATCCAGATAATGGAATATTATTCAGTGCTAAAAAGAAATGAGCTATCAAGCCACGAAAAGACATGGAGGAAGATTAGATGCACATTACCGAGTGACAGAAGCCAATCTGCAAAGACTATATACTGTATGATTCCAACTGTATAACATTCTAGAAAAAGCAAAACTGTGGAGGCAGTAAAAGGATTACTGGTTACCAAAGGTTGTGGGAAGGGAGGGATGAATAGGCAGAGCACAGAGGATTTTAGGGCCGTGAAAGTACTCTATATGATACTATAATGGTGGGTACATTTGTCCAAACTCAGAATGTACAGCACCAAGAGTGAACCCTAATGTCACCTATGGACTTTGGGTGATTATGTCCTGTCAGTATAGGTTCATTAATTACAACAAATGTACCATCAGGTGAGGGATGTTGATGGTGGGGGGATGTGCATGTGAGGGGGGAGGGGGTGTGTGGGAACTCTCTGCACCTTCCTCTCAGTTTTGCTGTGAACATAAAACTGGTCTAAAAAATAAAGTATATTTTAAAAGATATACTTACATATATGGTAGTGTTTTTTCCACTGTGATATACATACACACTATAAGAAATACAAATAGTAAATTTAAAATGTAAAAAAAGAAAGTCACTCAACTCATCCATTTAGAAGTAACCAATATTAATATTTTGGTATTAGAATTTTTAGTGTATTTCCTTCCAGTCATTTTCTATGCACTTTGTTTCTTTAAGATTTGAAATCATATTGTAGATGCACCTTAACTTTTAGCAGAAACATCTGTCCATGTTATTTTAAAATTATTCCTAAACATTATTTTTAATGGCCATAATATTCCACTATTACGGAATATTAGTGGAATCACTTTCGGATTACTTCCAGCCCAGTCACACCACTGGATATTTAGGTTGTTTCCAATTTTCCATTATAGTTTAAGGAAAAAAAAAAAAACCTCTAAATAATCCCTGTGCACAAAGCATCATCTACATTTTGGATGTGGTCTCCAGAAGCGGAATTATCCTACCAGAATGTATGAACATTACAATTCAAATTTTAAAAACTAAATCAGACTTTACATTTATCCCTTACTGAATTTCTTTTTTAAATTTGGGCCCTCATTCTGGATGTCTTTGAACCTTGGTTTATCTACTAAATAAGCAATTCCTCCCACCTCTACGCCATCAACAAACATACCTTCTGTATCTTGATCCACGACACTGGAATAAATGTTGAACAGCTCAAGGCCAAGAATAGAACCCTATGGCACTCACTTTCAGACCCCTTTCCAGGCTGACTCGGTGCCACTAATTAACAGTTTTTGCACATGACTATCAAATTAAATTAATAACACCATTCAGCCCACATTCTACCACTTATTTAATATGGACCTTCATATCTTCAGAAATTGTTAAGTACTTTACTAAAGACAAAGGGTACTATAGCTGCTGCACCATTTCTCTGACCCAGTAACCATCATATAAAACAGGAAATGGGTTCAATTTGATACGATCTGGCTGACTTCCGATTATCCCTGCATCCTAAGGGCACACTTCTTCAAGCAATTAAGCAAAAAGCATTTCAGTTTCTACGTTTTTTCCCCCAAACCTGTATTTTAAAATAATCAGACTGCGTACCTGTATAAAGCAGGGTGGCTCTTATTCAGTCCCTGTCACCTGTGGCTCCCCCAGGGAAGGGCTCTGAATCACAGGTAGTTATGGACCCCCAGGGTAAACCAAACTGTCTCCAGACCACAGAGATCTGAACTTATTCCTTTCAGCTGGTCCCAAATCAGCCTCGTTCTCCAGGAGTCATTTGCATTCACACCTTGAACCAATTATCCCGTGGTCACTATGAATCCTGGCTTCTCAATCTCTGGATCCTGGAAGCCTACCCCCGGGCCCATCCTAGGAAGAAGGAAATAAGAAGTGACACAGCCCCTCTCCTTGCCGTTCCTTTATTACTGACTCACAGAACCAAAGCTCCTGAGAATCTAATGTCTTGCGGCACTTGGCAGCCATGACTCACATCTCACCAAGTTATTACCCCGACATCGTTCTCAGAGGATACGTGCCAGGAGCCACCAGCTAACCAGGTCAGCCTGAAGTGGAAAATGACAAGGCCTGAGAGATCTTGGGGTCGCTAGAAATTGGCTTCACCATAGAGAATACAGCCCAAAGCCGTCTCTAATTAGTACCATTCCAGTCATCAGAAAAATATTTCACAGTGCCAGCCGGCAGCAACTCAGAAAGTGCTCCTCACCTGCCCACCTGCCCAAAACAAATCATTTGCACACAAGGCTCTAAGATTCCATGTCACACTCCTACCCGAATCCCTGCGGTGGCCACCCAGAGCCAGGGACGCGATCCCAAAGTCCCTATTTGGCCTTCGAGTCTCTTGAAAACTCAGGTCACAAACCCAAAGGCCTGCAGGGCTGAGCAGGGAATTGACTTCGACTGGACTGAGGCAACAGAGAGAACGGGAACTGGGACGCCTGAGGGCCCCGGGCCATCTCCCGCCCACAGCGGGCAGCCGCCACTCAGCTGCACAGACCTGCCTGCTCTGACTCTTTACCAGAGTCCCAACTCCAGAGGTTTTCTGGATTGCTCCTAATTTTTGAAGACCTTTGCGTGGTCCCAATGACAACTCATCTGAAGGTTTGAACACATTCTTCGGGCCTCCCGTTTACAACCCTTCCACTGCCCTTTGATCCTAACCGACCTTTCCAGCCTGACGGCTCCCTCCTCTCCCAAGGACCTCTGTTCTTCACTCTTCCGCACACTACGTACACCCCTAACTCCAAGCTGTGGCCCGTGATACACACCCCACCTGTGTGGCACCATGAGACACCCCAAAGGGTTCTTCCCAGACTTCCTTCCCTATTCCAGAAAGTTTTTCCAAGCCAAACAAGCATCGCTCCTTCTCCTGAGCCCTACGGCTACTTATTTTTCACCTTGGCCTTTCGTCATCTCGCCTTGCTCCTTAATCACAGGTGGATCCTATCTCTCCTATCCCTCAATCCCTTCCTCATGCTTCCTTCCACCTCCAGCACGACTAAGGGTAGCTCTGCCCAGGTGCAGCTTCCTAAGTACTTCCTAGATATGAAAATGCTCTATAGCTGTTTTTCCAACTGTGAGTTACGATCCATTACACACTGGTTACATCGACTTAGTGGGAAACAATAAGCATTTTTAAATGAAAAATAATGGAATAGAAAATAAAAGTACCAGAGGAGACTGCACCAAGCAAAAGAGGTAGTACTCATGAACTTAAATTAGATTTTTACATACATGATTGAGTATACTAGGTCATGATGTAAATTTTATTTCCTAATGTAGGTCATGGTCGAAACAGTGTAGAAAACAGTGCTCTCTAACGAGTAGATTAGCTCCACCAGTGCTTCACGCAACGTTTTTTTTTTTTTTTTTGACAGTCATATATTCTCTAAAAAGAAAAAAATATCTGACTGCTACCTCTCCCCACACGAGTCAGCTTCCCCTGCCAGTTCACTGATCCTGCATCTCAGAGAAACAGGGAGGCTAAGTAACTGCAATTACGTTCTCGCTCATTCTGCAACTTTTTGCAATCACCCTTCAAATTCACCAGCCCTCGGATGCTGCAAGTTGAGGCTTAGGGAATTTGTTCAGCAAATCACCCTAAGTCACCCTTGCAACAGGAAAGCAGAATTCAGAGCTCAGGAGAAACCCCAGCTCCCACTCTGTGGGCTGGTTGCTGGCTTCCTGGGAACTGGCAAGGGCTCTCTCTGGTTAGGAGGGACCTGGCCCTGGGAAAGGCACTATCCCTAGGCCCAAAATCTCCTTCCTCTTTTAGATCATCTTGCTGCCCCCTCATCTTGTTGCTTCCCCCATGCACATCTACAAGGGGACAACAGCTCTAGACTGAAGGTCTCAGTGGAGAGCAAAATTCAACGTCATTTCAAAGCCCCGCAATGTATGTGCTTCGTGAATTCTATTCTACTTCCCTCCAACCTCCAATCCCACCCTCCTGGTTAGCGGAAGAAGTGGCCCATCCTCCTTGGAGCCTCATTTCCTCCGAGTTGCTTTACCAAATTCATGTTCAGGACCAGGTGGTATCTTCTGAATGGCAAGACAGAACAGAACCTTCCAACTCAGACCCCCAGTCCCCCTCACGAGCATCCTCTACTGCCCCCCACCCCATGACCAAGAAGACACTCCTCGGAGTGCCTTCCCTCCCCGGCTTTGGCAGCCTTTTCCACCCTACACACCCTGGTTTCCCACCAACCTCAGAGCCACAGCTGCTAGCAGGACACCTATGTTTCCACGTCTTGGCAAACACAAGAAACTTCCCTGCAGCCTGAGTGTCAATTACTTCTCTCCAAAACACACATTTCCGATTTCTCAAGTTACCAACTACAGCAGCTCCAAGGCCCTGGCGTGTAATCAATTTCCACAAAGAATTAATTTCCATTCATCTCCTTCCTTCACCCTGCCCCTGTCAACAGATTATTTCAACAGTAATGCTTCTAAAATCCACCCTGTCTTCCATTTCCAGTTATCCCTGTCCAAGCCCTGGACACTCCACAACTGTAACAGCCTACTAACTGATTTGTCTTCTAACATTACTTTTAAAAATCTTCCCAAATACCCTTTCGTTACATCAGTCTCTGGCTCAGAAACCTTTACTATCTACCCAGTACACACAAGGTAAAATGCAATCCCCCAGTCTGGCTTTCTAGGACGTTCACAACCTCAACCATTGTTCCTCTCTATCTTTATCTCCTACTGTTCAGGAAACATCCCCTGGTCTGGCCAAGGCCATCTCCTTGTCTCTCAGGAAAAGTCATGTTCATTTGCACCTCATGGCCCATCTCAAAGGTCTCACACTCCAGAAATACAGTTTTGGTGATTCCTACCGTATTCCTTCTCTGAACGCCAACAGCACCTATTCTACACCTCGCAGTTTGCCAGGTCATTGTGCCCTATCTTGAGGTCTTATTTCCCATGCTCAAGTCTTTCTGTCCCCCCGCCCCCCGAGGTTATAAACCCTGGAGGGAATCATCTCCTGTATCTTTTGCATCCTCTTCACTGAGATAACTGTTTGAACCTCTTCTCCTCCATAGTCCCTTTCTGACCTCTCACACCGGTTACTTCTTCCTCCCGTGCCTTTGGCCTTTGCCGGTTATCCTTCACGTGCATAACTTATTTCCTAACTTAGGACTCTAAGTCCATTCCCCAACCCTGACCTTGCCTTTGACAGTCCCCCTGTCCCGCAGCATTTGCAATCACTTACGCAGTCTGTGCACATTTTAACTTGAGCTCTCAAATCACTTCTACCTGGTCAGTAGGCTTTCTGAGGCCTTAGATTTCTTGAGTGTCTTTTATCTCCCAGAGAACCTGGCACGGTGCTGAGAACGCAGCAGCCCCCCAGAGGTCCGTGTGGAGTTGAACTTAATTGCTATGTTTCCCGGTGTTTCAAGTTCCCTGAGGCCCAGAACCTCTGTTTACACAACATCTTAGGAGGGTGTCGAAAAGGCCTTCAATACCTGTTGATCACTCACTTCCAGGCAAAATGCACCAAATACACTTTTCTAGAAAAGGGGGTGTAAAGAACGGACCGATGGCCTGTAGGTAACCCCTGCACCTGGCCGCCTGGCATGAGAACGCCGGCCTGCGAGAAGCGCTCCAAAGCCACCGAGCATTGGCCCAGGCTGCCTGCAATCAAGGAGGCAGCGGGACCCCTCGCCGCCTGGCAGGTGGGCTTCTTTAGGTTACTGCGTCCGTCCCAAAGTGAAGGCGCTGAGCCCTGAATTCCCAGGCAGAAAAGAAAATGCTGCCTTTGAGATTGCACATGACAAACTCCCAGTCCAGGCCCCCACCCGGGCACCGCACATGCCCACAGTGCCAGTACTGAGGAGGGTCAGGGGCCGCCGCCGAGGAGAGGCAGGGTGAAGACGCGCAGAAGCAAGCGGGGGTGGACAGAAGGGCAGAAGGGGACCGGGAGGGTGGGGGCCAGTCCCCGAGGTGGAGGGTGTGTCGCGCCGCGCGTCCCGGAGCGCGGCACTCGCCCGTCCGGCCGCTCGGCGGAGCGGGCAGGAACGCGCGGGGCGCCGGGAGAACTGGGCCGGCGGCCCGGCCGGAAAGGGTCAGGGAGGGGGCAGGTCACCCTCCGGCGGAGAGGCGACTCCCGGCCAGCGCTCAAAGTTGGGGAGGGGATTCCTCGGCGAGCGCCGGCGGCGGGCGAGATAAACAAGGCGGCGCACGGGAGGGCGGGCGGCCACCCTCTCCCGGCCGGCGCGGCCACTGCCGCAGCGCCCCCGCGCCCCTACCGGCCGCTGCCCCGGCGGCGCCCGCCTCCCGGGCCCTCCTGTCGCCGGCCCGGCCCCCACGGGCGTGCGGAGCGTGGGAAGTTCCCGGGCCGCCCCCGTCCCCGGGCTGCAGCGCCGCGAGGTCCCCGCGCAGCTCACCTCGCCCCGCCACGAGCGGTGGCGCGGGCCGGGCAGCTCCCGCTCGGACAGCTCGGCTCGGCTCGGGGCTGCGGCTGCCGCGGCCCCCGCCCGCCCGGCGCGGCCCACCGCCCGGCTCCGCTCCGGCCGCCCGCCCGCCCGCCGAGGCTCCGTTCGCGCCCACCTGGCCGGCCTGCCCTCCCTCTCCGGGACACTGCGCTCACGTACGCGGCCGCGGCCACAACCCGGCCCGGATTCCCCGCCCGGGAAGGGAGCGGAGGCGCGCGCCAGCCAGCGAGCGCCGGGGCGAGGCGGGGGACACACCCCCTCGCCGCCCTCCCTCCGTTGCCCCCCCACCGCCCTCCGTCCCCCGCCCCCCTCCCCCGGCGCCGCGCGCGCACGCCGCCTGCGCGCGCCTCGCCGGCCACGCGCGCCCGCGACCCCCGCCCCAACACCCCCCCAGCGCGCGCCCGCCGTACACACCCCCGGCCGCCCGTAGACAGTGGGCGCTCAATAAGTGCCCGAGCGACTCCTCGCGCACATGCGCACTTGAACCTGACCGAGTGGTGACGCCCCCGCCCCCACCCCCAAATCGGACCCGGCGGCTGCAGCCCCGAACCAAACTTGAGTCTTAGCCTGTTTTCACTGAACCGGCCACCGAGCCAAAGTTTCTTGCTGTTGTTTTTCCAGGCCGGGCTCCGGGACAGGCTTCTCCGAGAGAGGCCGAGCTCGCCCCAAGGCGGGAAATGCCGCCAGCGGGCTCCGGGCGCCTCCGACGGGCGCTTGGCGGGGGCGATCGAGACCCAGGCCGCGCCGCCCCGACCCGCCGAGCGTGAGCGAAAGGCGAGAGGGAGGGAACGCAGGAACCAACCTTTCCATCTTCCTTTGCTTTAATGTCTTCTCCATTTTATGACATTTTACTCGATCTCACTCGTTTGTAGTTGTAAAGTGAGGCGTTATTTGCTGTTTCTGGAATTAACGTGAGAGAAAGTTAACTATTAGTCTTCAGCCCTTATGTAAACAATACCAGTTGCTTTTGGCACCGTTAGGCTCTGGCTTGTGTATAATTTGTAACAAGGAGAATTGAAGCTGAGCCATTGTGTTGCTCTGTGTTTTTCAGAGATAAGACCAGAGCCACACGGTAGTGAGAAGCCCCAGTACCGATATGTGTGAGCATATAGAGTCATATTCAAATAAGTTTAATGGATAAAAGAAATAAATCCCCTCCCCCCAGAAGTTTTAAAATATTTTTGGACATACTTGTTGAGTTTGCAGTCAGTTCACCTTCAATTTGAGGTATGCTGTTTTTCCTGCAGAGAGGCAGTGGGGAGTGTGTAGGAAAGGACTAAAGGCTTTGCAGTCAGACAAGCCTGGTTTGCAATCCTGATTTTACTGCTGAACTAGTTTTGTGATCTTCAGCAGGTTCTTTTATCTCTCTGAACCTCAGCATCTTTATCTGTAAGATGAAATAAAAAACATAGGTATAGTGCCTAGCTCACACCAAATAAACACTAGATATTATTTCCCTTCCCCCACCGTCCACCATTTGTTACAAAAGAAAAAAATCTTAAAAAAAAAAATTCCTAAAGGACATTAGTTCTCAGCTGGGGATGATTTTGCCCCCAGGAGACATTTGGCAATGTCTGGAGACATTTTTGATTGTCACAACTGGGGGTAGTGGTGCTCCTAGCATCTAATAGGTGTAGGCCAATGATGCTGCTAAACGTCCGGCAATGCAGAGGACAGCCCCATACAACAAAGAATTACCTGGTCTGAATTGTCAATAGTGACATCGTTGAGAAATCCTGCTATAGGCTAATTCTGCCATCGAATAATTCACCAAAGACTGGTTCTACCTTTTAATTCTCATCCTCAAGGAAACATTCTTGTTTTGCATTCGAGAGCACAAGAATGAAAGCATTTGGGGGACCACAGCAATTATATTAATATGCAAAGCCTGCCCTTAACATGAAAATGCAGATTCGAATTTTACATTTTATTATTAAAGGAATATTTTACCTAATTAACAACCGATGTATGTGCCCTAATTATTAAGGTATCTTATGATATATTATGTATTACTACAAGTCACAAATAGCTTTTGCTTCTGTTTCCCTTTTTCCTCAAACAGTGGGTGTTTACTCACTTCCGCAGATTCAGCTCTCTGCTAAGTCCCTCACCTATCCTGAAGTTTATAACATAGTCCCTGCCCCCAAGGAATATCCAGCCTAGGTGGAAGTAGATGAATGCACATGCAACAATTAAGGAACAATACAAGATAGCATATAATTAAGTTTTAATTGCAGCACCCAGACTAAGGTGGCACAGAGGCGAGGGAAATGAGTTCCAGCAACAACACCCAGTGCCGCCTGGCTGAGGTGTTCTGTAAATGTTTGTTGAATGAAATGAAATAGCAAAAGCTTTTGACATGAGATAGGACTCCAGCTAGTATATAATTCCATTCCAGGATTTAAACTGCTAGACTCTGTAAATGGATGTTGGTGCCTGGCTGTGAGTTTATTTTTCTTAAAACATCCAGTTCAAACTTGTAACCCAACCTGTATATTTCCTAAAACGATCAAACTTTAATAAAATGGAAACAATCATTCGTTTGACAACTATGTGAGTGCCTGCTGTGTGCAGCGTGAACCAAAAGAGTCTCTAAATTTGAACAGAACCCAGAGCTTGTTCTGTCTGAGACAGGCCATCAAAAGGCACGTGCTCTCTT